AACAACCACCAGCAAAACCACCACCAGCACAACCACGTAAAAAACAACCACCAGCAACACAACCACCACCACCACCAGCACAATCACCACCAGTGCAACCATCACAAGCGCAACCATTACCAGTACAGCACAGACGCCAGCGCAAGCAACAGCACAGCCACCAGCAGAACAACTAGCACAAGCACCTGCATAGCAACCACCACCACCACAACCACCACCAGCGTAACGGCCACCAGCACAACCGCCAGCGCAACCACCAGCACAACCACCAGCACAGCCACCAGCACAGCCACCACCAGCGCAACCACCACAAGCGCAACCGCCACCAGCACAACCGCCAGCGCAACCATCAGCACAATCACCAGCACAAAAAGCAGCACAGCCAATACAACAGCCACCAGCACAGCCACCAGCCCGACCGCCAGCACAAGCAGCAGCACAACCACCACCAGAAAAACCACCAGCATCACTACCAGCGCAACCACCAGCACATTCGTCTGCACAATCACCCGTGCAACCACCAGCACAAAAACCGCCAGCGCAACCACCACCAGCGCAACCACCAGCACAACCTGAAGTATGATCATCACCATCACAACCACCATCACAATCACCAGCACAGCCACAAGCACACCCGCCAGCACAACCACCACCAGCGCAACCATTACACGCACAAGCAGCAGCACATCCACCAGCACAGCCACCAGCACAACGGCCAGCGCAACAAACCCCAGCACAACCACCAGCACAACCATCAGCACAGTCACCTCCAGCACAGACACCTCATGCACAACCACCAGCACAACCACCAGCACAGTGCCACCACCAGCCAGCACAACCACCAGCTCGACAACCAGCAAAACCACCAGCTTAACTACCAACACAACCACCAGCACAGCCACCAGCACAGCCACCAGGACAGCCACCGCAACCACCAGCATCATCAGCACCATCAGCAGCACAACCATCAGCAGCGCGACCTTCAGCACAACCACCAGCGCAACCACCACCTGCACAACCGCCCGAATCACAACCACCCGCGCAACCACCACAAGCTCAAAATCCAGCGCTATAACATACAGCAGAACCGCCAGCGCAACCACCAGCACAACCGCCAGCACAGCCACCAGCAAACCACCAGTACAACCACCAGCACAACCACCATCGCGACCACCAGCAGAAGCATTTGCACAACTGCCAGTCTGCTCAGTACAACCACCAACAGCACAACACCAACACCATCAGCAGCACAACCACCTCAACCGGCAGCCTGACCACCAGCAGAACCACCAGTAGAGTCACCACAGCAACCACCAACACAGTCACCATCACGACAACTAGCGCAACCACCAGCACAACCACCACCAGCACAACCATCACCATCACCATCACCATCATGAATCTTGGCGCGGCGTCAAGGGCGCGGGAGGAAGACATAGAGGATGCAAAGGGGGCTGCGCAGCAGTAATACCAACCTCCACCGACGAAGTCCACGAGTGCGTAAGCCATGTGGACCCACTCTGACTCACATCTTTCCCCACACCTGCACCACTCTGGGGCACAAAAAATTGTGGAAACTTGCGAGGCTCACACATGCTCGATCCCAGAAGGGGAGAAGAGTTCTGGAGGCGGCGGGGAGCCCCACGGGGGGGAGGATGAGCAAACCGATGATTCCTAACTGAATGGGCAGGAATGGGCAGGAACAAGAGGAGGAGGAGGAGGATTAGGAGGAGGAGGAGGAGGAGAAGGAGGAGGAAGAGGATGCGGAAGAGGAGCGAGATGGAGGACTCGGAGTGGGACTGAACACCAGCGGCAGCTAGAGTGAACAGCAGCAGCAGTGGCAGACTCGGGAGCAGCTTCCGCAGCACGGCACTGGTACCCAATTCCAATCTACTCCAAGCGCCTTCCTACTTCAATGATCGAGTGGCTTCCCCTTTTTCCGTCCTCCTTAGGGGGCGGACGGAACCCAATATATTTTCAACGCCTCCCCACTTCATGTCTCGACCTACTTCTTACGACCGATGGACGCGGTCTGGCTCCAGGCCCACGATGCCAGCGTGGCGGCGGCGATGGAGCAGCACTCCATGTCGACCATGACGGACCTCTCGAAGGCCTACGAGCGGGTCACTCACGAGGGGCTGGTCGCTGCTGCTCGCCGCCACGGCTTCAGGCTGCGCAGGCTGAAGCTGGTCCTCCGCAGCTACGGCGGCCCGAGGAGGCTCAGCCTCAGCCGCTGGAAGACGGACGCGATCAGGGTCGGGAGCTCGATCGTGGCGGGCTGCGGGTACGCCACGACGCTCCTGAGGGTCGTGCTCCTCGCCGCGATGGACGCGGTCGTGGCCCAGTGGATGTCGCTGCGGGCCTACGTGGTCGTCGACGACATCACGCTGGCCGTCTGCGGGAAGCTCAGGGATGTGGAGTTCACGGCCTTCGGCGCGACCAGAGACCTCTGCCAGAGGCTAGAGGCGCTGGGGCTCAAGGTGTCCCTGACGAAGGGCATCATCGTGAGCAGCGACGAGAGTGCAGGACGGCGCGCGGCCCACCGCCTGCGGCGCTGGGACTTCAGGCTGCGGCGGGCGGTCAAGAATCTGGGCGTCGACTTCGGCATGAAGCCCAGGGCGTCGTGGTCGGTGCTGAGGAGCCGCATGGCCAGGCTGGCCGTCCGCTCGTCACGATACATGGCGCTCAAGCGGGCAGGCGTCAAGCTGGGCAGGATCTTCAGGAGTGGCGGCCTGGCCTCGGTCCTCCACGGAGCTCGGGTCGTCGGCGTTCCGACGGCGATGCTCGAGAAGGCCAGGGCGGTCAACGGCCAGGCGTTGGCGGGGGCCGTGGGCAGCAAGAGCAGAACGCTGCAGTTCGCAGTGCAGCCAGACCAGGGCTGGAAGGCGGACCCCGTCTTCGCGGCCAACAGCCTACCACTGGAGGCGTGGGCCAAGGCGGTCTACCTTGGCCTGCGCAGCGACGGGAGCCTCGAGAAGGCCTTCAGCGCGGCGCAGCCAGAGTCCTGGGGCCAGGTGCGAGGGCCAGCCGACGCAGTCAAACTCACCCTCCGCAGGATAGGGTGGGAGCCAGCCGCTGCGTCTGGCTGGCGATGCTGGGTCACGGACGCTGGGGAGCAGCTCGACCTGAAGGTCTACAGCCCCAGGAGGATGAGGCAGTTCATCGAGGCGGGGATCCAGCGCTCGCTGATGATGAGACTGCACAGCGAGCACCTGGGAGGAGCGCTCGGCGGGCCGCCGACCATCCAGGTCACCCAGCAGGCGGTCGCGGCGCTGCGCAGGCAGGGCGACAGCGAGCAGGTGGCGCTGTTCGAGGCGCTGGTCTGCGGCGGCCTGGTGACGGAAGCTGACCTGTATCGCGAACGGGCGGTGCTTAGCCCCGTGTGCAGGCTGTGCGGCGCGGAGCCAGGGACGCAGAAGCACCGCCTGTTCTGCTGCGACGGCACCGGTGGCGTCGCGGCGGCCATGGACATGGAGCAGGTCAGGAGAGCAGGCGCAGCAGCCCCAGACGGCGACATCGGGCTAGTCAGGTGCCTGGTCAGCCTCGGCCTGGAGAGGGCCCCGAGGCCTGCGGAGCAGGAGGTTTGCCGCCGAGGAGGAGCCCTCATCGGGGGGCTGGCCTGCGGCACCGTCTGCATCGACGGCTCGGCGACGGCCCCAGAGGTCAAGGAGCTCACCAGGAGCGGGTGGTCCTGCATCATGGTGGTGGCCGACGGCACCATCACGGGCGGGATGTTCGGGTGTGTCCCAGGGCCCGTCCAGGAGAGCGGCTACGCCGAGCTCTACGCGCTGGTGCGGGTGCTCAGGGAGAAGGGCCCCCAGCTGGACGTGGTCACGGACTACCTGCGGCTGGTGGAGGACTACGAGAGAGGAGAGGACTGGTGCCTGGGCCCAGAGTCGCTCAACGCCGACCTGTGGAAGGAGGCCTGGAGGCACATCAGAGACTTGGGGCCCGAGGCATTCAGCCTACAGTGGGTCCGAGTCCACACCAGCTGGGCCGCGGCAGCGCTGGCAGACACGCCCTGGGCCTGGCACCGCGGCAACAAGTGCGCGGACAGCAAGGCCAAGGAGGGCGCCAAGCTGCACCCATCTTTCGACGCCGTGATGGAGAGGGCGAGCATGGTGAGAGCGGCCACACGAGCCGCGGAGTCGATCGCCGTCCATCACGGAGCTGTCTTGAAAATGTTAGCGGGCCTAGGCTGGCCCGATCGGAGCCCCCTCCCCCGCCCCAGGCCGTCCCGAAATTCGGTCGTCCTCGTTTCGGGCGAGTGCGGGCACTCGCTTTTGAGGTTTGGACGGGCCTGGGGGTGTAAAATCTGCGGGGTTTGGAAGGGGCTCCGATCTAGGATCGTTTCGTCTCCCTGCCCAGGAATGCCTCGGCCCGCGGCGATCGCCCACCCCTCCCATAAGCTCTGGGTCGTGCGTGGGGATCGGGGTCGGGGGTCTGGCGATGAGGCTAATGGGAGGGGGTTGATCGTCTTCTGTAGAGTCTGCGGGGCCTATGCCAGAAGACAGGTCCACGACCTCTGTCGTCCCTGCCGTCCCTTCACCTCCCGTCCTCGGTCGGCGGCCCGTCTGGCTAGAACGGCGCTGGGACGACTGAGGTCTGGACGGGGGCCCCAGTCCAACAGGTTCTGGGGGCTCCCTTTCCCCCTCTTCGGAGCCCCGTTCGGCGGAGGGCCCAACGAAGGGCCCGACGAGGGGGGGAATTCGTCGGGACCCGAGGTCGTGGAGACACAGGCTTCCTACTTCGAGGTCGGTCCTGCTCGGCAGTAGGTTAAGCTAGTTCGGCTGGTTTTGCTGGACTATGTTTTGGTAGGACACTGAGGACACTGAGGAGGAGGAGGAGGAGGAGGAGGAGGAGGAGAAGGAGGAGGAGGAGTCCCTCCCTTTCCCCCTGTTTCGTCTCCTCCTCCGCGGGCTCCTCAGCTCACCAAGTGGAACGCGAGCACGTACTTCCAGGAGCTCGAGGCGGTGGGGTTCTCCGACGACGCCCTGCAGATGGTCGGCCCCCAGGAGGCCATGCTCCAGTCGGACTGCATGCAGGATCGGGCAGGGGGGGGAGGGAGGGAGGAGGGGCGAGGGCGAGGAGGGACGAGAGAGGAGGAAGGAGAAGGGAGGAGGAGGGAGGAGGGAGGAGGAGGGAGGAACAGGGCGGAGGAGGGAGCGAGCGAGGGGGGAGGAGGGAGGAGGGAGGAGGGCGAGGGGAGGGAAGGAGGTGGATGGAAAAGGAAGTGGACGAAGGAGGAGGAGGAGGAGGAGGAGGAGGAGGAGGAGGAGGAGAGTGGGCGGGAGGGTCGACAGCGGTACGAGGGGCATCCCCAGTAGCAGCGAGGAAGGAGGTGGCAGGAGGGAGGGAGGAGCGAGGGCGGCACAGGACGAAGGCGAAAGGAGGAGGGAGCGGAAGTGAAGGACGGCTGTCGAGGTGGAGGGAGGCAGCAGGGACGAGGGGGGGATGAGGACGAGCGAGGAGGGATGGAGCTGGGCAGCCGTTTTGTTTCCCACATCATTGCCCCTCGTCCTCTCGCCTCTCGCCATCCCTGCCTCACATCTCCGCTGTCGACCGAACCAGGATGCCGTGGCTCTGTTTTCCCCCGCCCAAAATAGGACATCCGCGGAGATGCCCCTCCGCCCCTCATATTCGTCCCTTCTTGAGTTTTCGGTCGTGCTTGAGTCTTCGAAGGCTCTCTTCGAGTTCTCGGCCGTGCCTGCAGGTCTTCCGGCCTCGGAGTGCTCTCTTCGAGTTCTCTCGGCCGTGCCTGCAGGTCTTCGGAGGCTCTCTTCGAGTTCTCTCGGCCGTGCCTGCAGGTCTTCCGGCCTCGGAGTGCTCTCCAGCAGCTGCGCCTCGTCGAGAGCACTGTCGAGTTCTCGGTCGTGCCTACGGGTCTTCCGGCCTCGGAGTGCTCTCCGGCAGCTGCGCCTCGTCGAGGCCCGATTGCTGCCCCGGGGGGGTCACGGCGTCGCGTGCCTGTGCGTGCTGAAGTGGAGGCGGGCGTGTGCCTCTACAGGGGGGAGATTCAAGAACAATGAAAAGCGGTCTTGGGACGACTTGTCGACCATGTGTTGACTGTGTGTTGAGGATGTGTTTGACTGTGTCTCATTTTTCGCCCCAAATCCGTCTGTAGGGGGACATGCCCGACCTGATGCTAAGATCGACGGAGGAAGAACGGCATACAGTCGGACCGAGGTCGAGGTCGGTTCGGGGAGGGTGCTCCAGTGTTCTTCGTGCTTATTGGATGTTATTGTGCACCCTGGGGAGGGTACCCTTGGATATTATGTTTGTTCTGTTCGACGGAGGGTCTCATGTTCTTGCGGGCTGTTCTTCTGGCCCAGATCCGATTGCAAATGAGACCAGAGAAAAAAAACAATCATCATCTTTTTAGGGCTATAGCGCTATGGGATTAAAGGGATCTAGGGCTACTAGGGCTATAGGGCTATTGGGCTATGGGGCTATTGGGTTGTAGGGCTATTAGGGCTATAGGGCTATTCGGCTATTCGGGCTATAGGGCTATATGGCTGTAAGGCTGTAGGGCTGTAGAGAATATATAGGGATGTAGTGCTGCAGGGCTATCGGAGGTTGGGGGGTGAGATCGAAGTGGAACGGAGAGCCCCCCACCCGGAAATCGGTTTCGGTTTCGTGTTCGTGCGTGCCGTGCGTGCGGGCGAGGCGAAGTTGCGTGGGCGGGCGAGAGGAAAGTCTCCTGTGGTTGAGGCGCTGCCGGACCAAATGATTCTCCCTCCGGCAAGCGGTGGCGCGCGGTGTCCCGCCGGTGTCCCGCTTACGGCTGGGCCCCGGCCGGACCAAATGATTCTCCTTCTGGCAAGCGGTGGCGCGCGGTGTCCCGCCGGTGTCCCGCCGGTGTCCCGGGGTCCCGCTGGTGCGAAAACGATAGTGAGACCGATGACGAAATCGATTATGCGATCGATAGTGAGATCGATAGTGAGACCGATAGTGAGATCAATCGTGAGATTGATAGTGAGATCGATAGTGAGATGAATAGTGATATCGATTGTGAGATCGAGTGATATCGATAGGGAGATCGTCAGTGGGATCGGTAGCGAGTTCCAGAGTGAGATCGACAGTGAAATCGACCGAGCGAGATCGATAGTGAGATCGATCGATTGAGATCGATAGTGGGATCGATGGTGAGATCGATCGTGAGACCGATAACGACATCGTTTGTGAGATCGATAGAGAGATCGATAGTGAGATCGCTGGTGAGATCGATCGTGAGACCGATAACGACATCGCTTGTGAGATCTATACAGAGCGATAGTGAGATCGATTGAGTGGGATCGATAGTGAGATCGATCGAGTGAGATCGATAGTGTGATCGATCGAGTGAGATCGACTGTGAAAGCAATAGTGGGGTCCATTGTGACATCGATTGCGTGAGTTGTTGGGTCCTCCCCCCCTCAACTCTCTTACCATCCAGGGATTTCCCAACTCTCAACCGCTGCCCATTGTTGGCCCCTCTCCCCCCCAACCTCCTTATCACCCGCAAGGTGGTCGTATAGGTAGGGCTATAGAGCTATAAGGCTATAAGGCTATAAGGCTATAAGGCTATAGTATAGGGCTGTAGGGCTATAGGGCTATATGGCTATAGGGCTATAGGGCTATTGAGGCTATAGGGCTATAGGGCTATAGGGCCCTTGGGCTATAGGGCAATAGGGCTATAAGGCTGTAGGGCTATAGGGCTACCGGGCACCTGGACACCCGGGCACCCGGGCACCCGGGTGTACCCGGGCATCCCCGGGCATCTCTGGGCACCCCCCGGCAGCTCCGGGCACCCCCAGGCACCCGGGCACCCGGGCACCCGCGGGCACCCGGGCAACCGCGGGCACCCGGGCACCTGGGCACCCGGGCCGGCCACCGAAATCGGTGATGTAGGTCACTTACACGTATGAATCCGATAGGACTCTTACAGAGGCAAGCTCTGATTGGGGAACAAACTTTCCACGGTCCGCGCGGAGTTCTTGGATCTGCGCTGGGCCCCCCTGGCGCCGCCTCCGGCGCCGCCCTTGGCGCGCTCCTCGCGCCAGGGCAGGGGGGCTTCCTTTCACACGAGCGACATGTGCGCAAGTGGCATGTGTGCGCGTGTGTGCTCGTTTTTTGTTAATTATTTTGCCGTTCGGCGCGGGCCCCCCGAGTCCCCCCCCCCATGGAGAAGATCCTGGCTGGTTTGGGGCGCCTGTTTCGAGCGGGTGGGGTCTCTCCACCAGAGCCGAGAGGCCGCACGGTCGCAAGCAGTCGCGCCAAGCAGAGGTCCAGAGCCAGAGACCCCCCCCCTCCCCCCCCCCTTTCCGCCCAATGTCGAGACGTGCGCCTTTCCTATCTGCACGAACGAGATGGGCACGGAAAGAATGGGTACAATGCCCAACAGCAGTTCCTGTTCATTTTGAACAGGACTCGCTGTCCGCGCCGCCGCGGCCTGTGTCCATTCGAGACAGAAGGCCGCTTGCCCAACAGCGGCCGCTGTTGGTTTGGGACAACATGTGCTTGGGCATTGTACCCATTTTTTCAATACCCATTTCGGGCGTCCAAATTCTGGAATAAGTGACATGTGCGCGTGTGCGTGCCAGCTCGCTCCCCAGCGTGGCCTCCTATCGCCTGCACGCGCCACCTGCAACTTGCAGCTCGGCCGTCGGCTGTGTCGGGCGCTCGCCGGGAGTTCTGCTTCTCCTGCGCGTGACCACATCGGGGGCAACGATAGGGGGGGATAGGCATAGGGGGGGATACATTGACCCCCAATCGCCCATTGATCGCCGATGGGGGCCCGATAGCCCCAACTCGCCGACCTATCGGCGATGTATCGCGCATTCCAGGTCGATGCATCCCCCCTATGCCAGTCCCCCCCCCTATCGTTGCCCCTCACAGCACAGGCGGATCTTGATTCTACGCAGTGCCTCTGGCAGGTCATCGCCGTTGGCTTCAACCCACTGTCGCCTCGACTGGAGAGCGCGCCCGTAAGTCAGGTGGCGTCTGCCCGCCTGGCCCTGCGCCGCGCCGCCGCGCGCGCGGCCGCGGCGCCAACAAGGAAGGCTGGCGACTCGCCGTGCTGCGCCGTGCGGTGGTTGCAAGCTTGGTCCTTCGATCCCACGGCTCGCCCAGCGCGTCGATCCGCTGCGCAGCGGGCTGACTCAAGTGCCTCGTTGTTCCGTGCCCCTTTGTCCCTGCTGCTCGCCCGGCTTGCCCCCCGCGCGGAGTCGCACAGCTTGGCCAGGGAGCGGTCGGTTTTCGACAAAAGTCGTTGTTGGGCATCGTGCCCACGTTCGTCCCGGCCAACTTTGGGCGTCCGGATGAGAGGGGGAGAGAGCGAGAGAGTTCGTGTGTGCAGTTGGCTCTCGCCGACAGGAGGGCCGCCAGAGCAAGACGAAGCACATCTTCGTCGGCGACTCTCAGATGATGGCGCTCCGCAACGCGCTCCACCGCCTCAACGGGTGCCCCGAGATCTGGTGGCACAACACCACCTGGGACCACCAGGAACTGCTTGCGTCGATCCAGGCAGGCAGGCGCGTCAAGGATAGCAATGGCCGCTTCCACGCGAAGACGGACCAGACACCAGACGGAGACCTGCCCAAGGGGTGCAAGGACCGCGGCGAGGGTAAACGTTGAGAGGAGGAGAAGGTACCCAGATCGCTGCCGTTCCCTCGTCTTCCCCTTTTCTGGACCTCCTAGGCGGCCCTCGTCCCCACCGCTGGGTTCGTACCGAAATCCTGGTCAGAGCGCACCCCAGGAGAGGTCCGTGGAGTATCGGTATGGGTACCTCTTGGTCTCCCGAAACGCAATGGTAGCGCCCCCCCTCCTCCTTTGGTGGTGCGCATGTCAGGGCTCCTCCACTGTCGCGCTCGGAGGGGTGATGTCGTGCACCTCTCAATGGCCCCGTCTCTCTTTGTACTTCAAGAGTTGGTGGGAGGGATCTTGTGAGCAAATATGCAAAAGAAGCAGTCGACAATCGTGAGTTGAAAGTGGCCCGCCCAGCTGCCAATAATTTGATTTCTCAGCTTCAGGAAGAGGGCATCGCGTCCTTCATCTTCTGGGATGCCTGGCTTGATTGGGATATCCCCCTCCAAGATATTCAGAATGAGATCAAGCTGCTCGGAGTCAACCCACACGAGGGTGACACTGTAGTAGTTTGGATTGGCTCGAACGCTATCTCGTCAACTGGCAGACAGGGTGTCCTGAGCAGCACGATCGACAAGCTCCACTCCTTGGGAGTCAAGATGGTGTGGGATTCACCGACCTTCATTGACGATGCTTTGATGGCCGCCACGACATCCAAGGACATGGGCACGGACTCGCACTCTGGCATCCCCGTCGCGTACACCGCAATCACTAAGAGGAAGAAGCGCGGCGAGCTTGGCTCAGAGCCTTAAACCCCGCAAAACTTTCTGCTCGCATGGCCTGCGCTCGCGCTGCCGACTCTGGGGTCGGCTCGACCTGGCTGCACAAGCGGCTCTGAAAGAGCGTCAGATCGCCTCGTGATCGATGCGATTACGATAGTTAGCGGTCAGGCCTGTGATTGGACGATGTGGTCCGATCGCATGTTCGTCGGTTGCGATCGAGGGTGCGGCAGCTTTGCAACTAATCAAGTCGAGGCTCAAACCAGTACAAGAGCGAGAAAGCGTTCTCGGCAGGAGGTGTTGTCGAGATTCCGATGACGAAGCGCTGGCAGCTGACGAACCGGTACAGGGGGCTCCAGTGCGATGGAATTCACAGCGACATGCGCGCGAGGGATCCGCTGTACTACGATCTGCCTCGCTCCCGGGTTGCCGCGGTCCGTGCATGAAATTCGACGGATCGTCACCTTGGCGGGAATCGCAAGCCGTTATTTCTCATGTATTACACTGTCGTTGGGTCCGCCGTGTGATCAGTACTGATCGCTCGTCATGGGCACTATTACCACTACTGCCACTATTCGGACACTGCTGCTGACCACTTTAAGCACTTAGAACAAGCTATACCTATGCCCTTGCGTGCTTTACCATGCAGCGAGCCCTGGCAGCGAAGGGAGGCAGCACAAAAAAACAGAGGTACCCTGGCCAAGGGTCCAAACAAATGCGGTTGTGAGTACCGCGTTGCAGACACTGGTTTCGGTGGAGCTCCGTCTGGGGCCACGAAGCGCGCGAGAGGTGTGCCGAATTGGACATGCGGAGGGCAGAGGAAGGGATGGGAGGAGGAGCAGGAGGAGGCGGAACATGCAGGTGAGGCGAGGCGAGGTGAGGTGAGGTGACGCAGGGCGCTGTTTGTTTGTTCAAAACGAGGACCCAACAACACATGACGGCTGAGAAATAAACCACGCGGCGCCCCCTCCAGAAGCCACAGCAGCACCCTCACCCGAGCCGGCTGACATGGGTGCTTGCCTGCTGCAGGCGCCGTTCGGAAACGTTTGAGGGGTGTGCCGACATGAGTGGGAGACCTCATCACGCTTTTGGGGAGCTTCGGTGGAGCTCCCTACCAGGGCCACGAAACGTGTGAGGGGTGTGCCGAAGTGGGTTAGGAACCGCATGCAGCGCAACGCTGTGAGGGGGGAGGGGGCATGCAGCACCACGCTCTTGGGGGCAACGACATGTGTGAGGGGTGTGCCAACATGACTGGCGAACTGCATGCAACACCACGTTGTTGGAGCCTTCGGAGGAGCTCCCCTGTAGGGCCACAGAACGTGTGAGTGGTGTGCCGAACTGGGACGGAACCGCCTGCAACACAACGCTGTTGAGGCCGTCGGTGGACTTGCGCCCCCGCCCCGTGGATCGGTTCCCATTGGAACGGCTGGAGAAAACGGGGTCGACAGCTCGGACATTCGCGCGCAGGTTGCCCGCGCAGGGTCGGTCGCGCGTGAGCGTCCTCTCGCGTGAGACTCTTTTTTCCCTTCGCCGCTCCTCCGGCCCCCGGTGGGAACCCCCTCTCCCCGCGAGCCATCTCCCACCTGCCCGGGCCCGAGTGGGCAGCAGAGAATCCCGAGGTGGGCCGATCGCGCCCCTTGGAGATCGGTCTTTGACCCCCGACCCTCGACATCAGGAGGAGGAGCAGGAGGAGGAGGAGGAGGAGGGGGAGGAGGAGGAGGGCGGGGGAGGGGAAGGAGGAGGAGGAGGAGGAGGAGGAGCAGGAGGAGGAGGAGCAGGAGGAGGAGGAGGAGGAGGGGAGGAGGAGAGGGGAGAATGAGGAGGGCGGGGGAGGGGAAGGAGGAGGAGGAGGAGGAGGAGGAGGAGGAGCAGGAGGAGGAGGAGGAGGAGGAGGAGGAGGAGGAGTGAGCCTTCCCAGCCTGGCCCCACGTGGGAATCCGGGACTCTTCGGGCGCAGCGGGTGCCCCGCCGGCCCCTTCCCGAATAGGCTGCACAGTCCGGACCGATTGGGGCGGCGCGGCTGCAGCCTGGCGTTACGTCGGGCCTGTCCCTCTACAGGGGGAACCTCCCAAAAATAGTATAAAACAAATCGTCGGGGGATTCTTTGCCCAGAAAGTTTAAGAAAACACTGGGCATATGTTTCTATCTGTGTGTATTCATTCATTCGTGTGTCCCAGGGCCCCTTCTGATCTGGCCCCCTGTGGGCGCCGACGCCTCCTGCGGCGGGCCGCTGCCCGCCCGGGCCCCCCGGCGGGCGGCGCCCCCGCGGCGCCCCCGCCCTGCCCGGGGCGCACCTGGCGCCCCCCCCCCCTCCCGTGGACGGTCCTCTCCCTCCCGGCCTCGGGGCCCCTGCCCCCCCCTCCGCCCCCGCCTCCGCCCCCTTCGCCGCTCTCCCTCCTCCTCATCGCCACCGTCCTCCCGGTCCTCTGGCCTCCGCATGAGGCTCTGCGCCCTCCGCCCGCGAACAGAACGGCCCTCTTCCTCCCGGCCTCGGGGCCCCTGCCCCCCCCTCCGCTCCCGCATGCGCCTCCCTGGGCTTGCCGTATTCGTACATTCCAGTTGCGCATGCCGCTCGATTCGGACAATCCTCTCCCTCCCGGCCTCGGGGCCCCTGTCCTCACCACCCACCACCCCGACCCAACCCGAAGGCCTCAATTTGCCCTCCATGTTCAGTGGGGGGGGGGTCCGGGAACATCGAAAAAACACATATGGAGCCCATACCCCCCCCAACCCGACATTCGGGTCTTCGGGTTGGGTTGGTGTGGACTGGTAGGTAGTCATGTCCCGCCTCCGCTCCAGCATCCGCCTCCTTCGCCGCTCTCCCTCCTCCTCGCCACCGTCCTCCCAGTCCTCTGCCTCCGGATGAGGTTCTTCGCTTTCTGCCCGAGGCACACATCTCGGGGGCGGCAGAGAGGGGGGTGACGACTAACTGGGAGGGGGGGGGATATCATGGCGTGGGCCATGATATTTCCTGGGATTTCATGGCGCCTCTTCTTGTTCCATTACGTCCCTGGCCCCCACCCTGGGCCGCGCACATGCCGCCGGCCATGATTTGCGCCCCCCCTCTTGGACGCCCCCCTCTTGGGCGCCCCCGAACGCAGCACGTGCACTGAGGCCTTGCCCGAAGGGCCCCGAGTCGTACGGCAAGTCCACGTACTGCAACTGGGTGGAGCCCTTCGACGACAGGGTACGCCTCTGGGCGTCGCGGAACAAATCAGCCCATGTGGAGCCTTGGGGCGTAGAAGAGCTGATCTTTGCGCTACAGGAGGAGTATTCAGAAATAGTGAGAACCAGTCTGGGGACGATTCTTTCACTATTCTGCACTCTTGCGGGACATTTGTAGGCAACTTGGGATGTTCCGTCCAAGATCCGCCTGTGGGAGGACAGGCGCGACCTGAGGCTAAATCCGCACCGGTGGTGCGGTCGACGGCTGCGGCGCACACGGCTTCAGAGAGCGTCCGGACGTCGGCTGTCGGGGGGCGGGGCGGGCCACGCCGCCTCCCGTGCGCTCCAGAGTTCCCTTCTCGACCCTCTAAAACAGGGCCATAGGATCGGGATAAATCGCTCCAGAGCGTTCCGGAGCGCTCTCAGAGCGTTCCGGAACGCTCTGGAGCGGCCGCGGCGCCCAACACATCCTCCCAACCCGCCGATTCTCAGAGATTTCGAGTTATGCCGATCCGATTGTGTCCCGATCTTCGCGTCGTTTTACCCTCTCGGCGCCTGAGCCCCGTCCGCCGCCGAGCAGGTCTGGCTCCGAGGCCCTGCGGCGGCCGAGCGGGCGCAGCGCCCGCCACCATTTGCTGGGATTTCCTGGTCGGCTCGGCGGCCCGTGCGGCGGCGGCCGGGGGGGCTCGGACATCGATCGGCCGCGAGGGAGCCCGAGGCAGTCAAGACGCGGAGATGTAAGGACCGCCCGAGGCTCGGGAGTGGCTGCGGTTTTTTGGGGGGGAGGGAGGAGGGGGAGGAAGAGGGAGGAGGAGTAGGACGAGGAGGAGGAGGAGGAGGAGGAGGAGGAGGAGGAGGAGGAGGAGGAGTGGAAGGCAGCCGAGGCCCGCCGTGGCCAGCACAGCCCCCTTCGCTCCCTCGGCGTGGCGTTCCTTCGGGCAGGGCGCCGACTTTTGCTGCAGTCCTGCCGTCCTCCGGCGAGCTGCCGTGCCGGGGCTGCGCCTTGCCCCTGGCGGAGGCGCGGGCCGCCTCGCGAGCGCGCGTTTGCGGCCTCTGCCCGAGGTGAGGGAGCACTGCCCCCAGTTCATCGGTCGGGGCCTCGGCCCGGTGCCTGCTCGGGGAGAGGTCATGTTCCCGCTCCTCCTCCTCCTCCTCCTCCTCCTCCTCCTCCTCCTCCTCCTCCTCCTCCTCCTCCTCCTCCTCTTCAACCTCCTCTTCCTCCTCCTCCTCCTCCTCCTCCTCCTCCTCCTCCTCCTCCTCCTCCTCCTCTCACCTCGTCTTCCCTCCTCCTCCTCCTCCTCCTCCTCGTCCTCCTCCTCCTCCTTCTCCTCCTCCTCCTCCTCCTCGTCAACCTCCTCCTCCTCCTCTTCCTCAGCCCCCCCGGCTCAGGTATGACGCACACATGGGCAGGAGAGCTCCAGCATACTCCGATGCTGGACTGGCCTCACTTGTGATGGCCCCGCGGCCAGCTCTCGCCGCCGCCATGTTCTCGTGTATCCATTGGAACTGTGTGGCGGCAGCTGGTGAGCTGCGATTGCATGAGATGTTGGACGAAGTCCAGCACGTTGACATTGTGGCTCTGTCCTCGACGGGCGAGCGTGCACGTGAATCTACATTGGGTCTGACCCACCTGAAGAACCATGTTGCGTTCAAGAGTGGTCGCGTTCCCCGGAGGCACGTGAACTCGTCGCGCGGCCTAACCCTGCTCCTGAGGAAGAATATGGTTCGACATAAGCATATCGTCGATTCTCTTCCCGTGCCCAGGCGTCGGCAAGGCCGTGTGGCGGTCAACCATGTTCGGTCGGGGCGATTCGATCTATTGTTGCCCATGGCGTATTTCCCTCCCCTCCTCGCCCATCGGGGACAAGAGAAGGCAGGTAATCTACTGGAGATACACGTTTTTGGGCAGTATCGGGCAACAGTGGATTGCATGTGCTCCTGACTTGAAGAGAGTTCAACGTGCTCTTGCACTCGGTCAGCAGTGCTCCTCAGTTTCGATCTGAACGACTCGTTCGGGCTGCAGGCAGTTTCAGGCAAAGGATTGGTTCCTGTTCGGTCGGCGGCGCTTGGTGTTCATGAACGTGGTGAGCAGAGATACGCGGGAGGCAAGCAAAGTCTTCGACATGATTGAAAGGTTCGCTGTGAGGGCTGTCTCCATGGAGCACAGAGCCAGCGATACATGTTTCGGCCGTATCAGTTCGAGTGCGACAGATGATGCTGGCTTTCGGTTGGCCGCGCGATACGGTAAACATGTGTAAAGGTTTTCGGCGTGCGAACCAGCGACCCAAGCAGGTAAAACGGAAGGGGGTGCAGGACCGTGTGCCGCTCTTGCTCCGTACAGACTGTGCTCGACGTGTCGTGGTCTCGTTCGGGGGCTGTTCAGTGGGATGTCCACACGCTTGTGATGGCACTTAAGCGGGGAGTTGGAGCGTCGGGTTTTATATGGGTTCTTGAGAGTCAGTTCGAGGGCCTCGATTTCTACGATATGTGTGTTATTGCCCATGTTCCCGACGAGGCGTGGCAGATGTGGATCACACGAGTCGATGCTACAGCCGAGAAGCACTTCGATAGGTAGCCCGAGAGGGATCATAAGGTTCAGGCAGTCGAGGTTGAGAGATTTAGGCTTCTGGCACTGCGCCGCTCTATGCGCACATCGGGAGATGTTGATTTGAGAGCGCTCCTGATCTTCACTTGCGGTGGCTTTCCCTTCGGCCCTATCTCTCTACACGTAAACTTGCGATCCGCTGGTGCGTGCTCAAGACGCTTGGCTGCGCCTGGACCACCAGCAACATAACGCATGTAGTCCCAGGATCCAAATATTGTCCCATTGGATGCCTGAACTGTGTAGACTGGGCGCGGCACTATCTAGTTTGTAAGCGTTTCCTCGAGATCGACGCCGGCCCAAACAGCCATTTGAGTGATGATGTTTTAGTTCGGTTAGGCTCGGGCGGTGAGGCGGCGCACGTTGGTCCTCATTCGCTCTCCTATGTCGTCCGCTCACTTGCCATTTCCTTCTACATATATGACGCCATGAAAGGGGGAGATCGGCGCCCCCCCCACGTATACACATCTGTTCCTGCCGCCGCTTGCTTCCGCACTCTTGCCATTCAGCGAGTGCGCGAGGGCTAGGTGACCAGGACTTTCCAGGGGACGTTCAGTCCTCCTCCTCACACTCACTCTTTCACTCATGGCGGTCGAGGGTGCTCCTGTGTCCTCCTCCTCCTCCACCTCCTTCTCCTCCTCCTCCTCCTCTTCCTCCTCCTCCTCCTCCTCCTCCTCCTCCTCCTCCTCCTCATCCTCCTCCTCCTCTCTCCTCCTCCTCCTCCTCCTCCTCCCTCCTCCTCTCGCCTCTCCTCACTCTTCGTCTTCACTCCTCCCTGCTCCTCCTCCTCCTCCTCCTCCTCCTCCTCCTCCTTCTCCTCCTTCTTTTCTTTCTCCTTCTCCTCGTCCTCCTCCCTCCCCGTTTCCTTCCCCGAGACCCAGAAGCTCCCCCGATCCAAGCCTTTTCCAAAAATGCCTTGAGGCCTCCTTCAAGATGGCCCGAAATCCTCCAGCTCGGTTTTTAAAGCGTATATCAGGGGCCCTCGTGTTCCCCATTGGTGTTCTGAAGCTTCCATGAGAGGCTTTGGAGGCTCTCCGATGGGCTCCAGAGGCTGTCCACGGGGCTCCGGGGGCTCTCTCAGAGGCTGCGGGGCCTTTCCCAAGAGGTTTTGGGTCATTCGGGCGTGGTGGCACCTAAAAGCAAGGCATGGGCAGGACGACTGCGAAGGCGATGTGCCATCCGGGCCTGAGATGTCGAGGTGCCTCGGAAGAGGTGTTGACAAGACCTCCTCTGGCGGGAGATCTGGGCAAGGGGATATCGGACCCCCCAGCGCAAGAACAGATCCCCCATGAGGGGGAGCTATCATGATGGATGCATGCTGCATATAGAATCATATTGCATTCGTGTAACATTGTTGCTGCTGCTGTTGTTGTTGTTGGTGGTGGTGGTGGTGGTGCGTTGTTGTTGGTGGTGTTGTTGGTGTTGGTGTTGTTGCTGTTGGCGTTGTTGTTGCTGCTGCTGTTGTTGTTGGTGGTGGTATTGTTGTTGGTGGTGTTTGTGTTGTTCCTGTTGCTGTTGCTGTTGGTGGTGGTGGTGGTGTTGCTGTTGTTGTTGATGGTGTTGTTGGTGGTGGTGGTGGTGTTGTTGCTGTTGTTGATGATGCTCTTGGTGTTGCTGTTATTGTTGCTGCTGCTGTTGTTGTTGTTGGTGGTGGTATTGTTGTTGGTGGTGTGTGTGTTGTTCCTGTTGCTGTTGCTGTTGGTGGTGGTGGTGTTGTTGCTGTTGTTGTTGATGGTGTTGTTGTTGGTGGTGGTGTTGTTGCTGTTGTAGATGATGCTGTTGGTGTTGCTGTTGTTGTTGCTGTTGTTGGTGTTGTTGTTGGTATTGTAAGTGGTGGTGGTGCTATTGTTGATGATGTTGTTGCGTTGTTGGCATGTCAAAGAACACGTGGCACGCGAGTCACGGCTCTTGCACATGCAGGAGGGAGAAAGGAGGGGGAAGGGGGGACGAGAGAGAGGAAAAGGAGGAGGAAGACGGGGGGGATAGCCAAGGGCAGAAAGGAAAGCAAATGGCGACGAAGAAAAACGAGGATACGGCAGACGGAGGACGAGGAGGGATAACGGGGGAGGGAGGGCGAGGAGGGAGGAAGCCGAGAAAGAAAGGGGAGCGCCTGGAGCAGGGAACGGGATAAGTCGACGAGGAGGGGACATGAAGGGAGGGAGCAGAAGCAGCCACCGAGGCGAAGGCGGCGAACAGGGGTCTGCAGGGCGGGCGCGGCGATGGTTCGGGAGCGGCGGCCGAAGCATCCGGGGGCCACGGCGGAACCCAGGGGGCTGACCCGCAGGGCCGACAGTGTCGATTTAAAGGTCGGGGCGCGGGGATCGCGATGGGTAGTGGGCGAGGAAGCAGTGGGTGGGGGGTGGGAGGGGGGGGGCGCGGCGCCAGTACCGTGATGAAATGAAAAGGTCAGGTCGCCGGGGGCGCTCTGGCTCGAGGAGGTGGGCTGGCTGCGTGGAGGGGGCACGGGCGCGGCACCAGTGTTGTACCGAAATCAAACGGTCGGGGCAGGGGAGCGGCGCTGGGTGGCGGGCGAGGAGAGGCTTGGCTTGCTGGGGGGGGTGGGGGGGGAAGGGGCGTGGCGCCGGCGGCGTGACGAAATGAAAAAGGTCGGGGCGGAGAGAGCGCGCTGGCTCGCGGGCGGAGAGGAACCAGGCTGGCCGCGGGGGCGTGGTGCCTGTGTCGCGCCGAAAGACACATCTCGGGCGGACGGGTCGTGCTGGCCGGTGGGCGAGGATGAGCTGGGCTGGCAGTGGGGAGCCAGGACCGAGGTGCCAGTGCCGTGCGGGAGTAGAAGGGTCAGAGCGCAGGGGGCGCGCTGGCTGGCGAGGAGGAGCTGGGCTGGCTGCGGGAGGTGGAGAAGGGAAGCTGGTTGCGGAGATTGGGGGGAGCGGGGCGCGGCACCAGCGCCGCGCTGCTACATGCGGGAGCGCAGGGAGCGCGCTGGCCAGCAGGGGAAAAGGGGGCGGGCTGGCTGCGGAAGGGGGGCCGAGGGCAGATTGGTGCAGTCGCGAAACAAGGGCGTCAAGGCGGATGTGGCGCGCGTGGCGGCGGAGGAGAAGGCGGGCTGGCTGCGGAGGGACGAGAAGGGTTGCGGGCGCGGCGCCGCTGCCGTGCCGAAGCAAGGGGTCGGAGCGGAGGGGGCGCGCTGGCTGGTGGGTGAGAAGGAGGTGGGCTGGCTGTTGGGGGAAAAGAACTGGGCGCGGTGCTTGTGCAGTGCCGGGAAAAGTGGTTGTGGCGGAGGATGGGCGCTGGCTGGCGGGAGAGGAGGAGGCGGGCTGGCTGCGGAGTGGGGGAGGGGGGCGGGCGCGGCGCCAGTGCCGCGCTGAAGTAAAGAAGTCGGGGCGGGGGTGGCGCGCTAGCTGGCGGTAGAGAAGGAATGGGCTGGCCGCGAAGGTGGAGGGGCTGGCGCGGCGCCAGTGCCATGCCAAAATGCAAGGGTTGGGGCGGAGAGGGCGCGCTGGCTGGTGGGGGAGAGGAGGTGGGTTGGC